CTTCCCTCCTGTCTCAGGACCACAGATGCATTTTCAATGTTCCAGTTAGGTACTGCGTTTCTCTCCCAGACAGTCTTCAACAATGTTAACATGGGAGTCACATTTCTTTCAATTGTAGGCTAAGTCAAATACCAGCCATTAAGGCAGGTGATGTAATCTCTGCAGTGAGGAGCCTCTGTCCCTCCAGACCCGCTGTGGGGTAAGAATCTTCACTACATTACTTGGATTTTGCCCTAGAATCATGGACACCTTGCTGATGGCTGCCTCAAAAACTGGGCTTCGGCTGTCTACTCAGACTTTGCTTCTGTAAGCTTGAAAAAGAGAGTATGGTCAAGAATCAAGAAAGAGACAGAAAGAGAAAAAGATTGAGGACATTTCCCATGGGTCACATGATTTTTCAAGGGTTCGGACGATGGACTGCTCTGAAAAGACGCCAGCACTGACCCCTTGTTCTTTGCAAAGACTTTTGGCTCTTCCTGTCCTTGCCTCTGAGAAAGCTCAGCTTGGGCAACAGTAAAACTAGTGCAGAAAGTCCTCGTGCACGTGTCCCTTCTGGGTGTCTCTCCTTTGTCTTGCTGTATCCCCTAGAGCATCTAGCCTGTCTCCTATGAGCAGGGAACGTGCTTGTGGCTGAGTGAGGATGAAGGAGGGAGACGAGAGGTTAAGAGTAGAGGGGCTTTGAGGACCTGAGAGAGAAGTGGAAGGACACCCCTCCCCAGCAGTAGGAAATGCTACATGCTCTTAGTCACATGCTAGACAGAGATGGGCATGACATTGCCCATTGTCTCTGCCTTGAGTCTCGCAGGACAAGCTTGGCTCTTGGAGCCATGCAGTCCCACATCCCTGTTATCTGCTGGGAAAGGCAGGCAGAAACCACGGAGTGGCGTCCACATTCCTGTCAGAAAACTCAGTGGCTGGTGGGACATTTGTGGCTGTTCAATGAAGATCCAAGAGAGCCTCAAAGTCATGCATGTTGCTTGCCCTCTTGGGCTCTCAGGCCACTGGCTGTAGCTCCAGGCAAAGGACATGCTCTGCAAGGGAGTCTAGATCAGCCATTGTCCCTACAGGTCATTGTCCTGGGCCAGGTCTAACCATGCTTTAGGGATGGATCCTGTAGGCTAGCCATGGATGGGATTATCTTGTGCCCCGAGTCCCCACTAGTGACAGTATCCTGATTAGCCCTGAGGCTGATGAATGAAAGAAACCAGAGTCAAGGCAGTTCGGAGGTCCTGGACTAGGCTCCTGGGGGCACCGTGTGAGAGGACAGTGGAATCTGTGTGAAGTGATGGAGTGTGCAGGAGGCTGGACTGTGGCTGGACCACAGAGACCCAGGAAATGCCTGGTTCTGTCGACGTGAAGGGCAGATTTCCTGGACGAGGTGAGGTTCAGGCACCAGCCCTCCCCGTGGATGCGCGTCCACAATGACTGGCTCTCCCATGATTGTGTCCATGGAAGGTGCAGGTGTCATCTGCTCAGGTGCGCTTCCAAGACATTGGACCTCTGTGTTAGCGTGTGGTTTTCTCCAGGAAAGGGTTCTTCTTTGCCCTGGGCTCTCATCACCCTGAGCTTCTCTGAAAGACGGGTGGTTTCCCTTTTAACACCACCAATAGCAGCTGGTGTCCCTGAATTTCCTGTGTCTGCTACAGCACTTTCCTTAGGGAGACAAGGGGTGCAATGTAAGACAACATGACGACACTAAGGTTGTAAGAACGAATTCCCCCAAAACCTTTCTTTTTTTTGTGGAGACTGACATCTGAGGTTGACATTTAATATTCAGCTCTCCTGGACAAGTCCCAGATCACCCTTCTCCAGCCAGGGAGGGGTGGGCACTCAGCATCTCTCTCAGGAGCCTGAAGGGTTCACTGCAGCACATCCTGGGCGCCCAGGCTGACCCTGTGTCCTCTTTCTCGCAGGTCCACAAATCGATCCTACCGTCGGAGGTGCGTCCCTGCAGAACAACCCAGCAAGATTCCTCTCTGCAATCCCCCCTCTCAGTTCCCAGAAGGAGGAGGAGGAGGGCAGGCCCCTGTCGGGGAGGGGTGTCCCTGGGAGGACTCTGGAATTTGTTTCCGTGACCAGCTGAGCTCCCAGGACCCTGGCTGTCACTCAGCTCTGCCTGGAGGGCCCCTCTGTTCTCCTGTCATCACCTGCTGCCTCTGCTTCTGTGGGGGAACAGGATTTGTTCCCCTGGTCATTTTGGATGACAATAACTATCCCAGTCGTTCCGTGGAGCGCTGTGACCATGTTACTGACATGGCCAAGTGGCACTCCTACAAATGTTTGTCTGTTAAAGGATTCCCTCTAGTTGAGAGCAATCCCCAAAATGATCTTAATGGTACAGTGAACATATCTGGTGCCAAATATGTTGGGAAGTGCTGTGTACTCCAGCCCATTTGGACAGCCACAGTGTAAGTGGGAAAGGTCAAGGCTCTGAGAAGTCCTGCAAAGGAGAAGGATTTACTTTCTCTATAGTACTAAGGACCATGGAAGTAAAATTTATCACGTAATTTCCTTAAAATGCTTATTTTTATTAATAGACTGGTGGGATCCATCGTTTCCAGTCACAAAGGGTAAGTGTCACGTTTTCCCACTTAAACCGCAGGACATGGGTTTCTTATCCCCAGGCTTGGCTATCTGTGCAAAACTTTTGGAGACTGTCCTTAGCTCAGGTCAGCGTCTGGTCCATTTTTTTATTTTCGTCCCTAGGGTCAGAGAACAGATTCGGCTTGGCTGTAGAGGAGGCAAAAGTTATCTTCACTTTCTCAGGGTTTTGTGTGGCTGAACCTGCGACTTCAGTTGACAGAAGACGACTCAACAGGAGCAAAGAACACAAATTTATTTAATGCAAGTTCACGTGACATGGAAGACTCCATAAGGAAAGAAACTCCCCCAAACCTACTTGCTTTCAGATGCGGTTCAACAAGGAGAGGCAGCTGTGGAAAAGTAAGCACACTCTGTCAGAAGGAGAAGGTAAGAATTATTCCATCAGGATCTGTGCGTACAGAACTTTCTAGATCTCAGCTCCTAGTCCTGGTGACAAGAATCTTCCTTCCTTCTAGCACAGAGAGGACAGCTTTCCATGGCATTTTCACCTCCTTATTTTAAGAAATGGAAAAAAAGGTCAGAAAGTGACTCTTGGACTTGCTCTTTTTCATTCTCTTTTAATTCCAAATCGTCAGTGATGCCTGAGCCTACTGGGGCAGCATGTTCCAAAGTGCCTCAGGGCAAAAGGTAAAAACAGGTTCAAGGTTTAAAATGGCTTAGATGTTTTAGACTCTTAGTAATTTTCAAGCCTGAGAACCACTCAGGAGCTTTTGGTTGGCCGGGTGGAAGTAGGGGGGGGGTGGTGACAGTGGGGAATTAGCTACTTCAAGAAACACTCTTTTGACTTTAGGTGAAGAGGCTGCAGTGAGTTCCTGCTGGAAAAATCTCTCTGGCATTCGACACAAAGAATACGGATAACGTAGAAAAAACACAAAAAGCTCACATGGGTTTAAATACAATAGCAGTGTTTCCACGGTCCAGAAACGTTGATGAAACAAAGTGGCCAGTGTGGTAAAACTCTGGGGCCACGTGAGACCTGGGACCCCGGTGTCTCCCACTGACAAGACGGGCTGGAAGGACCAGGAGCCGGCCAACCAGGCAGGGGCTTAAGTACATAGACCCACCCAAAAACTACCAGCTAAGGGAGGCTGATGGAAATCTGCTGGACCTGGGGCCACCGCCATGGGAGGCGGAAGACAGACCCTGCCCAGGTGCTCCTGGATCTCTGACTAGATCTCTGACTAGATCTGCCCTTTCCCCAGTATCTCTGCAGGAGGTTCAGATGGTTTTGGGCTCTGGGCCCAGGAAAGAGCCACGTGGAGGCAACTGTCAAATCAGTAAGACCAGGAGAGGAGAGCATGGTGGTGGAGGACAGGGCCAGGGCCAGGGCCAGGGGAGGGGGTCAGAGAGACACAGAGATTCATTAAAACATCCCACTCCAAATGGACCTGTCAAACTAAAATACAACACATGAATGAAATGCTAAGCATGTTGCCAGGGAAAGCAAAAACTGGAACAGAAATTCACTCTGAATTAGTTTGTTCGGGGAAATTTTTCTAACAAAATGAAATGTACATAACATAAAATGAACCATTTTAAAGTGTACTTCAGTGGAATTTGGTATAAGCACCATGTTGTGCAATCACCACCTCTGTCTAGTGCCAATGCCTCTTCACCAGCCCTAAATGAAGCCCCCGCTGCCCTAAATGGTCGTCTCCTTTCCCCTCCACCCCCAGCCCCTTGTGACCACGAGTCTGCTTCTGTCTTGGTGGGTTTACCTTGTCACTTCACACTAATTTTAAGAACAGTCTTGCAAAGACTGAAATAAGAACCTTGATGGTAGCCAATGGTGTCATTGAAGGTATAACTTGTTATTTGTTCTTAAATAATTTACCGTGAAATATTTTCAAACTCACAGAAGAGTTGTGAGTATCACACAAAGGACTCTCGCATCTCCCTAACTAGCCCCTCACTGCATTTGCTCCATCACCCTGTCTCCATCTCTATTTATTCTTGTTGTCGTTAGTAATTTCCTAAACCATTTGAGAGCAAGCTGTAGACAAGATGCCCATCACTCCTCAATAAGTCAGAACGAAGTCGCCTTTCTGCATCATCACCAATTCAAGAAATCAGTGCTGGTAAGAGCCTCTTGTCCAGGCCACAGAACTCATTAGGGTTTTGCCAGCTGTCCCCTGGATGTCGGTTTCATTTTCATCTGAGGCACCACCCAGCAACACATATAGCATTCAGGTCTCATGTCTCTTAAGTATCTGCCAATCTGACAGATTCCCTCGTCCTCGCCTGCCTTTCATGTCCTTGATGGTTTTCAAGATGCAGGACTTGCAGGCTACAGAGTGGCTCTCCGTCTGGGTCAGCAGATGTTTCTTAGCAAGATTATCACATG